AGTCTGAGCCAATGATCTATATCCTCATCGTATTTTATTCCTAAATGTTTAATGAAACAACTTGACGTCTTATCGAGCTTCAGGTAAATAAGCATATGTTGTAAACTGTCCATTTAATTGATTGCATTAGGAAAACAGATGGGTGTTGCATGCAAATAAACTCAATGTAGTAGACAGCATCTTCCAAAGCTATAATAAAATGTCAGTCTTCGAATGAAGAGGCTTTAGAATTTCAGTGACCAGTGAGAAATATGGGTTCATTTGTAGCCCTCAGAATTGACCTGGGTTGACTTTACTGTACCTCTACGGGGTAATCTTACTTCAATATTCTAGATAAAACACACATTGAATCACTTGAATATCTCGCTTCACAGAAGCAAGTGAATCACCACATAAACATAGGTGTGGCCGAATGAGAGACTTTTTGTGTCAGCTCATTGAATAATGTTTGCAGCAAGAGAATACCAGTCTTACTCTAGATACAGAAACAATTCCTTTCAGAGTTTTCAATATTTCTTTACAACGTTACACAGAAGGCTTCTTTTGAATTCGACATTTATTCATTACATCAGAGGAACAAGTAGTGATGCGGATAAATAATGGTGTAGTGATAAACATCAACAGCTCAACACTGGACCATCTGATTAACACTGGTCAAAAAGCTGGCATTGAAGTATCCTTCTCCATCATCTTTCAGGTCCCTCGTAAATTGCCGGAAGCCTCGAGGTATCGAAGACTGTAAACAACAGAGGTTAATGCTGTCCAGCTAAACATAACCGGTGGTCTTTGTGCAGAAGAGGTAGGTCCAGACACTACAATTGCCCTTACTTTCTGTCGAGCTTACAAATTCATGAATTCTGTATCACCATTTTGTCGTTTGTCTGATATTGGGTGTAGTGTTATACCGATGCATATTATCACACTAACAGATTTTTCTGTGCTATATTCGACTGTTATTATTGATTCAATGTAATTTAAACAATAATGCTGTTAATAACTCTAAATCCTCAATTATTATTTATATATAACTGTAGAACCTGATGAAGTTATCGAAAAGACTACACTTGTTCAACGATCAGTCCTTTGAAACATTTGTGCATCTATGTAGCTGTGTCTTATTCTCTGCATCTTTGCCATAAATATTCGAGAGTTTCCACGCAAACACCACCCACCACAGAAGTCAAGCACGGTGCATTCATCGATGAGGCTCTTACTCACCACCTGCTTATACATTCGAAATTTAATTCACGAAGCACACTTCAAATCTACTCAAAATAAAATTTTAAACGCCGAACTTCAATTCAACCCTACGTATGTAAACATTTCTCGGAGATTTATCCTATGAAGTCGTCAAAAAAGACTTAGAAAACAGAGACGATATATTTAAAAAATGGCAAGAGTATTTGTTTGATGTAAAAGCTGAAACGGTGTGATTACAGCGCAAAACATCCAGCTGTTGACAAATTAATGGTACAATATAAGGTAACGCAAGGAGGGGAAACAGATTACAGTTTTTAAAAACCAAAAGTACCTCATCCATGCGATGGAGACAGAGGTAATGCGGGTTATGAAGGGGGCGCTATAAAAGACTGATTTCAATCTTTATGATGAAGTCATTTAATCAAGTCCTTTTTCATCAAAATAGGCTTTCAAATCCCGGTCTTTCATTTCAATCTTCTGCAAAAGCAAATATACATATATGTCATATGATAAATAATATATAGGCTGAATATTCTATTTATTGAAAATACTAAGAGCAACCACGTTTGTTAATATTCCATATTTTCACTTGGAATTCGTTCATAAAAACTAAGGCAAACTTGTATTGTGAAACCGAAACCTGTACGAAGTAATATGTTAATTTTTGTTGTTTAAAACAAACGCATATTTTAAATAAGAATAAATCGTCCTTTCCGAAAGTATGAGCGGCATGCAGTAAGTCATTCATGTTAAGAAAGGAATATATTCAGAAACATAGATACCCGTTTGGAAATGGTGACACACTTATAATCATCACCACAGTATATACGTAGACGTTCCGTACATATTGTGATGACATCACTTTAGATCCATTTCAAGTTTCCTCTATCACATGCGTGTTAATAAGAAAACATGCTTTAGGAAGAAAATTGAATGCAGAGGGAGATAGGGACAACATTAGAATTCTTTGACCATCAAAATCTAAGATTTTGATTTGTTTATTTCTCAGAAAAAACGTAAATGCTCAATGCTGGATAGCTGGATATTTTTGAGCCGAAAACGAGCTCTCATCACCGCACTAACTCATCGCATTAGAAAGATTTGCAGCAGCGATTGCATGGAATAGGAACTCCTATTCCTCAAAAATATCCGGACTCCAAATGACTACCCGACACGTTTTCTGGAAAAGAACATGAAATCTAAACTAAAAAGAAAAGAATGCGGTTCAGCACCAAAGAAAATGCTGTATCTGAATCTGAATTTCAGGAGAGATTTGGCAACTGATATCCTGAAGATGAGAATATCCAGCTCTTTAAAGAAGAGCTCCCCTTCAGCAACACTGAGAGTGACATTCTCTAGCCGTACAATAATTTGAAACAACACGAAGGACAAACTCTCGCATATGACCAATTCAATGTCCATTTACGAGTTCACCTGCTCGTGCGGAGCTAGGTATATAGATCGTCGTCCTTTCAAAACGTGACAGAGAACATTACCCAGCGTGGATGCAAAGGGGAGGCCTCGGTTCAATCAGAAGTGCCATCACTGAACATCTGCTCAACACCTCCCACAATATCTCAACTGATTCTTTCAAAGTGATTTACAAAGTCAACAGAAACCTACCAAAAGCAGTATGTTTCCGAATTCTGCAGAAGCCCTCGAAATATGCATCGAGAAGCCGGAGCTGTCTGTTCAAAAGAAATTAGTCCAATCTCTACAACTACCATGGACCTAGTTTGGTATGTTCCCTTTGCTTCCGTTTTTCCTCTTGTTTTCGTTCTCTCTTTTCTTTTTGAGCATTTTTTTGTTCGCTGTCTGTCTGACCCTTAGTCCCTCAATGCTCAATGTCAGTGTAAAGCTCTAATTATTCAAAAATATTTTTGGTAGGATTTTCTGAATTGGTTGATATAGGCACGAAGTTTCCAATCAAGCAACTCAGGGAACATATCCAAATAGAAACCATTAATTTGATCTACGAATCCTATTTCTCATAGCTTACAAACCACAAACTCCAAATCACGCAAAAATAAACACATCGGCTATTAAAAACTGATGTAATTCATCTCTGATGTCCGACAAAAACATTCAATCGTTTGCAAAAATATGACATTTCAGCGCTCAAACATTTATAATGAAGTTGTAAACTTACGTCTTCTAAGAGACAATAAAAATATATACCAACTGAATTCAATCCTTTTCTGCTTTATTTAGCTCTTTGGTTTGATAGAAAATGGACTTCACACCGGTTATAAGCTCTAGTTCATTTGGTGAGTAAAGTACTAGATAAATATATTCTTGAGTATATTAAGAAAACTAAAGTTAATATTTATTTCGTGTTAGTCTATCGCCATCTCAAGTTTTGTTATTTAAAGTCTTTCAGGTGAATTTAATTTGCTTTACCTCAAAACAATTTCCAAATTTTTGTGAACAATAAAATTGTAAAATATTATGCGCGGAGAAAGTCACTCCGAAACTATGTCACATAATACCGTTTTCAACATTACATTCAGTTTTCGAGAAATACTCATCTTAAAAGTGCACTTGACTCATATGACTAGAAATATTTTTTTTGTTTTTACTTTCCTAATTACAGCTTGATTCTACACCGTAATTTTGGTGGAAGTATGGAATTTTCAGCGCGGATATCGGTAGCCCAAATTTTGCAGGCCGACCATAGTTATCAGGTGTGCGTCTGCAGGGGATCGAACCTCGGACCATGTACATGGCGGGCGAGAATCCTAACCACTGTGCCACTGATGCACTTATCTTTGTCAGATATCTTGTAAAGCGATTTGAAAAAGCTTCGTGGACCATTAGTTACTGGAATGGTGGACTAAACAAGGGTGAACAGGTATTAAACAAGCTGAAAATAATTTGCAAGCATGCTGTGAGAAATATATCCGCATTCACTTTGATCCAAACAACTGAGTTCACAGTATGATCTCTCGAAAAGAAAATCCACGAATTTTATTGAACGCTAACAGTAGACTTTAAAACATAATTCAGATGAAATGCTTCGTCTATACGCAAAACATCTCACGTTGTGGCACAACATTCCCTTTACATAATAGCAATAGTTGGAAGACTCCATCTGGCTCCCCCATTATAAAGTGCAACTTACGGGAAAATAAATTGCAAATATCTTCTGAGATATGTTCATGTTCGAAGCAGTCATTCCGCGTCATTGTTTGGTTGGACAAGAGCAGTCACCGGGCAAATTTTAACCCACTTTCCCAAAGACGCTATTTTATTGAGTTAAAAAAATTCATAATCATTTTAGTTATATAAGCCTGTGAGTTGGCCTCAATGGACTCCAAAACTTACTGATACATTGTCCTACTTACAGGATCAATTGTTAGCAAAGATTGTAAAGTAAGTAAAAGTTCGTGAAGTAAAAGTTCAACAGCAAAAATGCGGTCACAATACACAACTGCTTCAATTATAATATGTAAACCATTTTTATTCATAATGCTCGGTGAATTTCAGCTTCACTTATGATCTATTCAAACATAACGGCAAACTGATGAATGTCACAATCGCAGGAAATAAGGCATTCACTTAGGCTAAACAAATGGTATGATGATAGTTAACAGTTTGACCTGCATAAAATTAAATCTTTTCGTATAAACTAGTGGCAAAGGAGAGACGAGAAATAATGTACACCAAAGGACAACAAATATGTTTAAAGATATAAAATGTATTCGTGTTTCATTTATTAAAAAATCAATGAATTTCAACTTGTTAATATTATTTAATAACACATTATACTATAGAAATCATCGGTAACGCTTGACTGAATATTAGGCAGTGAGCCACTCACGGTATTCTTGAATTTAAAATATGAAAATAAAATTCATTTTTAAATTTTCACGTCGATTGATTGGATCGAAGTGCTCGGTCTCAGGTTGACATGTCAGCTTCTTGTTCAGTCGCTTAGTTGATGTCTGGACGTGGTGTCTGAAGTTAATTGATCGATGGTAACTAGCAGTGGAATTCAGATTATGAGTCCTAAAATAAAGATGAAACGCGCATCCTGGATTCCAGTGCTAGTCAGCATCCACCAGTTAAATTCTAATGAGCAGATGGTATTGCACCATCCCGATATGACCTCCTGATTCTCGAATCCATCAAGATGTAGTTAACACAATAGTGATACTTGATTGAGAGACAATTTACTGTAAGAACTTGCTTTGGTTTTTATTAAAAAATTTCAAGGTGTTTGGACCAAACACAACTAAAGAAGCTGTCACATTATGTTGCTCTTTTAGTTTTCTTAATGTTTTCCATATTTTATAAGTGGCTTCTTATGGTTTTTATAAGTTATTATGTTTTTATAAAGTGCTCTTAAACCATAAATTGTGTGCATATTCACCAGTTGCAAACTTTATTGAGCCGGCAGACAGAGTTGTGATTTGATTTATATTAAATATTTTGATAACACAACCCAATTGACTAGCGGATTATCCTCAAATGTGAAGAAATGTCAGTTGATGTTATTCTATAATGTAATCTTGAAATGACCTTCCATCTATACTAGACTATCATGCTGAGAATTTGCAGTGTACTGACAAACAAACAGCTGTCATTCTCACGCAACGTTTAGAAAGACTCACGGTCGTCTGTATTGAAAAATTTAATCCACATTTAGTTTTTCTCGATCAAATGTGCGTTTAATTAGCTATCGGAAAACAGGGAATGTTGAACTAGCAACGTTACTCTATAAAGGCGACCAGTGACATTCGAAAAATTCAGAGCATACAATAAGTTTACTTCCTTTGGCTCATGATAGAAGCTGGTGAAATGATTCGACATGACATTACGCCTGATAACTGCTCTTCTGATGTACACAAATAGGAAGCCTGAGAATTCAGATTGTATACACCATGTTTGCTGAGGCTGTAAAGCGAATTATAAAATAAAGCTAAAAAGCGGTAGAAATTGAAGAGAGGAGATTGTCAGCCGGTCTACAACTATTACGCCGAACAAGGTGTGGCCTTCATGAAGTGGCAAACAGCAGGGGGGATTCGGGGAACAGAAATACGCATAATCCTAAACCTCTGACTGGAATGACGATCATCTGCATTTGTCAAATTTATGGACATTCAAATTGCATTCAAAAGCGTTAACGATGGAATAATTCGCTAACAATTTCGACGCTGACAATCACAGTACTAGGAACTTTCATGAAAGTTATTCAGTAGCCATATGGTGAAGACGGACGCTAACTATTTCATTGCTAAATTTTTAGTGAATACTCCACTGATACAGGATTGACCATTACTAAGGACTTTCATTTTGACTGTGCTGTACTGACTGACACGGTAAACCACTGGAGCTGAGAATATTGGCCTTTATTTGTTATCATCAATAGTGGCCACCAAATAAACTTAGTAGAGAAAAATTGGATATCAGCATTAATTTACTTACTGACGAGTACTTTTTAGGAATTAAGAGGTGAAACATTTGAAAACTTATCAAAGTATGAAGACGAAATCATTTCAAATGTATCTTACAAGTAGTATTTAATGGCGTCCTTCCTTTAATTGTGACTGTATTAAGGCTTTCATCAGATGTGTGGGTTATAAAAAGTAAACATTAAGTGAAATAAACAACCTTATCATTATCCGGTACTCACGTGTTACTTCTATGCGACAATGAAGATATAAATTTTGCTGAGGTGTAATTAATTTATTGATAGGTATAAAGAAAAAAAATTTGCGTCCAAGGAAATACATGAACGTTTACTCCTTCTGACCATTCAAGTTATTATCGTGCAGTGTGATGTGAAGAAAGGAGCTTCATCCTAATTGTGTGCTGCTGTTATGAACAGTTATCTCTGTCAATAGTACTCAACGAGGAATATATATTTATTATTGTTCCCTTGAGTTCCTAGTGGACGTCTCCACTGTCTTCTGTCCTCTGCTGTACTTTTCACCCGCATCCATGTTAGTTCATACTTTTTCAACTCCTCTTCACACGATCTCCTCCGTCTCACCTTTGGACGTCCTACTCGACGCTTCCCTTTCAGGTTCCACTCCAGCGGCTTTCTCTGCGAGTGACCAATCCATCTCCAATTTCTCCTGCATATTTCCTGATTGGCGATTGGTTCTTGTTTTGTTTGTTCCCATAGTTTCTTGTTGGTGATTCGTTACCACCATCTGATCTTCAGTATAGAGAGAAGACAGATGTTGGTTGATAAAGGTTTGCAACAGGCTGTTGGAAATATTCCTTGTGACTCGCCCGCCAAGTTTCTGTTCCGTATAGAAGAACTGACTGACTTGACGTTTGTATTGAAAATCCGACTAAAATTTTGTTGTTGATGTTGAGTTGAGTGACGAAGATTTCCAAATTGGTTTCAGTTTGATAAATGTGTTTCTCGCCTTCCCGATTCTCGTTCGATTTGACATCCTAGTTCGTTCCTGCTGTAGTTGGGACAACGCTCAAAGCTAGATAAGTGAATGAAGTAACCTGTTTCAAATCCCTCCCGTTGATGGTGATTGACACTGGATGTTGTTGTTGTTGGGTTTTTTTTTTCATAATCTCCGTTTTGTCTATGTTCACCTGGAGTCCTGTCTTCGCTGGCTGCTTCTTCGACTCGTTTGTCGGTTTTCGCTTGTAAGTCTTCGATTTTGTGTGATATCAAACACTAATCATCCGAGAAATACAGGTCTTCTAGCGAGCTAGTATTCCAGGCGAGTTTATCGAGGAATGTTTACCCTTCAGTAATCGTTCAAGTGCTTCAACTGAAGTCACAATGTATGTGAATATTATGCAATAGCTATAATAAGATCTCATTCAATTCGTTATCTACCTGACTAAGTGTATGTATCATCCAATAATTTCTTGGCACATCAGTACAAATTTCTTCCAGATCATTAGTTATCCTCTCAAGTGTCTGAGGAATCCATTATGTCGAAGTGATAAAACGCCTTCAACAAAGAATCGACATGTATCTCAAGTGGAATATACTCATATCATGTAGCGAATGTGATTATCAAACTGCATGAGAACATTCAGTCTCTAGGTACACGTAATAGAAGAACACTTAGTAGGATTGTTTAAACTCTTAGCAGATATTCTTCAAAAACGACGCGTAATATATGAATCATTTTCTCCAACCATCCATCATCAGTGGAAATGAGCAGATATTCATTCCTCATGTCTTTCATTGATTTCCTATAAATATTTGATGAATGCAAAAAGTACAAGTGAACACAAAGCACAACTCAGCGTGTGTTTTTCTTCACATACAGAGACAGACACGGAGACCAACAATGTTACCAAATAGTAGCCTAATGAGTAAGAAGAATCCACTCACCTGTTCCTTAAATTTAAAAATAAATCAAACAAAAACTCTAGTTGAATATTAATCATTCACCTAATTTTCTAACCAGGAAAATCTTAGACTGATCTTCTTGTGATAATGCAGATATGTGTAAACGGTCCTTCACTATGCGTACAAATATGAATCCCCATGTACCAAGATATTCTCTAATACAACTACGGCTAAATTTTGGAGAGTTTTGTCTTGTGAGATGACGATCGAATCTCCCATCATCCTACAACATGCGAATAAAAGGCGTTGCCACTGTCAATTTTTACAAAAATAAGCTTCCGTCAATCTGATACCTGCACTCAGTTACTTTATTGTCAACATTTTTATGTGCTGCTCACATTACTACAATCTGGTTGAATAAGTTCCGCTTCGCCTACTTATCTGATCCGTCAGGTTTCTGCAGAAACCGCCTGCTGCAGAAATATGTTCTCAAATTTTGTATATTAGGATTTAATTACAAAAGTGAGCACTGGTGTTTCGTAAATTGGTATGAAATTTGAATGAATGATTCCTTTATCTGAATTTAACACATCTACACAGAGAAGCAAATACGTGTGAATGCTTATCCTGAGAAACATTTTCGCGTGAATTAAAGATCGAAATCTCCTAAACTGAAATCCCATCATCAACATTTAAATGCTCCTTCTTTCTTGTGATTTAAAAAGATGCATAAATACGAACGTTGTTAAAACGTATCTCAGATATCGTTGAATTATTCTACAGTTAACGTACGATTTTTTTCTACATTGAAACATGCAGCGAATGAATCGAATGCAAATTTGCAAGAATAATCCATCTGTGCCATATATTTTGATCACATCTGCTTGTAATTCATATGAATATAAAAGTGACAAATAGACAGAATTCCATGTTTCCAGATAATAAGGTTCTATGAAGCCTAATAAATCGACACTAGAGACAGATTTATTTTACTCATCTCGTCAGTGACGAATGAAATTAATTTTGTCAAATAAGCTGAGGACCTGACTGTATCTTTGCCTGTCAAGTGTCAAAACGACTGCTCTTAACTAAATGGCTTTTTATCAGAAATCAGCCAGTGGTCCAAAGAAAACGGTCTAACCTTAAACCCCGTCGAAATGTCAAACAGTCACTTTCACCTTTAGGTATAAATCCGACCTAAACAAACTGGTAAACACTCACGAGGTGTGCAACATAGATAGCACTAAAATAGATACCAAGTCGGATATTAAATATCTTAGCGTCATTCTACCTGCTGTTCTTTCCTTATTGGTCGTCACATATCTGGATGATTTCTAAGAAAATATTTCGTCTTACCTCTTCTACATCAAGAAGTTAAGCCATTATGGTATAACCCGATCCCTACTTCTTTAATTCGTTAACTCCCGTATTCTGCCAATTATTCTGTATTGTTCCCCCTTAGTTTTTCCTGGGCTACTGAAGGAAGGCTATACCTCATTACTCGGGATGTTAGAGGTTGTCAGCAGGGTGAGCAACGTGTCACTTAACTAGCTTGTTAATATTCTGGTCAACAGGCACGTGGACTCACGTGAAAAATGGGCTAAATCCATTCTATCTATCTATCTCACAACACCCTCCTCATTCACAACTCTCCCCTTGAATCTCTTCAGGCAAGACAAGAAGCCTACATAGAAAACTACATGCTCGCACTAGCAAGTACAAAAACTCATCCATACCCTACTTAGCTCGTGTTCCTTGCGATAAAGAAAGCATTAGGCGTGATACCTATAACTTGTTAAATAGTCAGTGGAATAACTGGATCTTTTCGTTCCAACTCATATCATTTATAGGTGCAACGTATTTTCTTTGTTTTCCTTGTCTCTTTTTTCTGTTATGTGCTGCTTTGTTTCTTTCTTCATTAAAAATTCTGTTTAAAGCAGTCTTCCTCGTTCTTTCACACTTTGTAGATCTCGACCTTTGTGTTACCTCTTACGCCAGTAAATATGCTAGTATCTACTTTTCTAACACCTTCAAAAACACTGTTCGAACTGAGATTACCCTAAACCTATGTAGAATTTTATTTATTGTCAATGTACTAACTGCATGGAATACAGTAGTAATATGCTGAGAATTCCATTCTGGATCACAAGTACTGTTTTGGAATAAACCAAATTATTATTAGTATTATGTGATGAAGAATTAAAGGACTCACTAAAACGTTCTTCAGATTGGAAAAACATCCAACAATATAAACTCTGTGAGCTACTTCAAAAAAATAAGAAACCATTTAAAATGAATTTATATGCATGTATGAACAAAACTATATTGATGTAACGTGCTAAAACACAGCTACAGTTAAATTGATGATATGAGGCCTAAACTAATGGCAGCGAATAGTGAACGACCAGTATATCCCTGATTTTCATGTGATTATGTGAAGCCTCTGAAATGCATTTCTGTTTTAGCTTTTTCATTATACTGAAAATGATATCAAACCTTTTAAACATTTCCTACTATACTTTGGTTTGTAAGGTTTAGTTTTGTTTTTTACGAATTAGAATTCATGAGTCATTGAATCGGGTGGTTAGTGGCTGAATGGTATACGAGCTTGCCTTGTAACCGGAAGGTCCTAGGTTCGAACTCTGGTGGTGGGTGCATACTGCCGATGATTTCAAAACTAGGCTGATGAAACGGCTGTCCAGTACTCCCTAATTTCAAAAACATTAAAATATTGTGGGAAGCAACTATGAGTCACTCCTTCATTGTTCATTAGAGAAACATCTTTGGATATTAAGTACTTCTAAGAAAGAACAACTTTAATCCAGGCATCATTTGATGAGTCATTCTTGCAGAGTATAAGTTATCCTTTTCAAAACACTTACCCATGAGATCTAACATTATAAATCTTGGTTATAAACCTTAATATGACCATATAAAATTGAAGAATGTGTCAGGTGCAATAAGTTTTGTTACACTAGAACATGCGATTGGCAAATTTCTAAATGATTCGTCATTGAATGTAGCTGACCGAAGAGTGTTAGTATTTATCCAATCAGGCTTATATTGTAAGTGAAAATTCTTCAGTGACTCTGCATACGATTTCGTGGGATGCTTTCATAATAACTGCTTTAAAAATTTGCCAGTATGTCTTCTCCCAGCTTGTCTTCTTTGACAAATATGTGATACACTCAGACCTAATCAATGTCTTACACTTCTATGGTTGAAAGCGCTCCTATCAAAAATCATTTTATCGTCGATCATGGGTTTAAGGTAATAAAGAGGTAACTAGAAATACATGTGCATGTTATGGTTTCATATCTGTGTATAGAAGTGACACAGGTGTTCACTAATTCAAGGAAACAAGGCTTTATGTCGTCGGCAAGTGAGTGTCAATGAAGGATTCCCAGTGGTCAACACTTCCCATTGTGTGCCTCCTGACGTCGGCTGAAATGTTCTAGAAACTAATACAAAAAGCATTTATCAGTATTGTATTTTGGAATACTTACTCTGCTCGGCTGTGCATGAATTAAAGGTATACTAAGTGCAGTCTATCAAACAATAAGGTAACTTAGAGCATGCAGAATTAAAACTGCAATATAATTAATTACTATCATGTAACACTTGGCTAGTTGAATCACACTATGAAACCAGAGTGTGACACATTTTCCTTGGAGAACTTATCAAGTTTACTTAAAATTTCATTACTAGTATTTCATTAATTCAACTCATTTATCTTACTATTCTCCTGTAAATCTATAACCGTTCTTCTGAAGGACTTAATCCGATGTCATGAACAAACTTTAGGTCCTAAGGAGTGTTATTCTCAAATCAAAACTCATCCTCTGAAGTTATAAAGTGACGATAACTGTCAAAGTACGTTACTAACTAATTCTATGATGGTTTGTTCATTAGATGCATCACACAGTATTCACTGGATGAAGTTTCTTCACCCTCTTCTATTTGTCCTCGAGGTGGTAGAATTTTCCAGATATCTGGGATAGGTGATGAATCATTCCTATTACATGTATTTGCAGTCGATTCGATACACAAAGCTTCTGTTATTAATCTCCCCATACACCCTGTGGAATTAGATTTTAAAACTGTCATCCTATTGTATGTTTGTGTGTAACTGCATGTAGTGAGTGCTATAGCTGGACTATTCTCTAGACTTCTTATCTTATTTGGGTCAACCAATCTAGATTTTGCTAGGTTTTTATGTTCGGCTAATGTGATTGCCCCTGTTCCTCCAGTTCGACCTATGTGTTTGAACTTACAATCATTGCAGGCAAAGTACTAGATAAACTAAATCGTTTTGTTTTCCAGGCTCCACAGGATTGATCCTTCAACTGACAAAGCTTGTTTCTAATTGAGTTTGTGATAGGTATGAGTGCCAGCGACTTTTATTGCTGCCTTGTTAAGAATTCTGCGTAAAGTTTCCAAGGTTTCTTCTTCATATAGAATTACTCATGATGACATAGATTTCTTATTGTTTGCATTGTCTTGAGCATATTTGACATGCATGTCATTATTAATATTATTATTATTATCACAGCTATGACAACTATCAATATTTATTTTATTTTTACATTTTCTTACATTCCTAAGTTTACAAAGAAAGCAACCAGTGAGTGGGTTGCACAGTGGTTAGGACCCTCGCCGACCATGCACATGGTCCGTGGTTCGAGCCCACGCCGAAACACACCTGATATCTATGGTTGGCCTGCGAATTTTGGGCTACCAGTACGCACGCTGAAAATTCCATACTTGTACCGAAAATACAGTGTGGAATCAAGCTGTAATCAAAAATAAAAAAATAATAAAGAATCTCAGCAAATATTCTATTTCTGTCATTTTCGCAATAGACATGCCATCAAGAATGTCAACCAATTTATGTGTGTAATAGTTCATTCCATAAAATCTCAAATTCTTGTAGGCTTTAAAGAATGATTTAGAAAATGCAAACATCAACACTCAGGACAAATTGAGTACAACCTTGTTTTCGGCCTTTTTGAATTCGTATATTTGTAGGTATAATATAAAAGTACTGAAAATTATTTGAAAATCCTACCTGTAGCTTCATCTCCTGCAGTAATGAAATTATTATTTCAGTGATATGTAACCAAATTCGAATCTGTTTCATATAACATCATTGTCAATATTAAACGAAAAAGTAGCATGAAGTTATCCTGCTCAGAACAAGTAAACACCAATTTGTTTCGGCATGTTATCAGCGTGAACGGTCTTTATTTATTTTAGGCGTTGGTGGCACATCGGTTAGGACAATCATCAACTATGCAAATGGCCCATGGTTCGATCCACGGCTGATGCTGAAGAAATAAATAGGCTTTGTACTGATTTTGTTAGGTGTAGAAGAGTTAAATGAAAGGCATTTGATTTACTTAGGATTTAAAGATTAAGCGTTTTCTAGTGACTGGATGAAGTTAAAAGTGCTTATTAATTTGATCGACTACCCGTGGCCACAACACTACAGCTACTGTAAATAAGCCAACAATTTCCGTAAAATTTCAAGGTTTCACAGAAAACACGTCTCAAAGACGCCATATTTTATGTCTTAAATGTTGTATTCAGTTGACTGTAATGATGATGTCGACAATGGGACATATATTCAGCGAATCACTTTATACTGAATGCATACGAGAATCTGAATTCGCTTTTACACATCGGGTGACATGGATATATGTATTTTGATACATTCGTCTTAGAACATGAAGGATTCAGTGGAGGTAAAACATGCTCGGATCATCACCATCGAACACAGTCTCAAATGGCAGTCGATCGCATATATCAGATTCACGCACTTGGTAGTGGCTTTCTGTAGAGTTGTGAGCGAAGTATTTTTGCAGGTGCCTGAAAAGTACGAAGTAGAGGTTGTCAAACATTTAGACCACTCATCCAACAGCTGTATAGTGACGAAGAACACTAATTGGTTTACGATGGAAATCTCAATAGAGAGTTTGAGGTGAACAGGATTCGGATCAGTTTGACTACTACCACTTTCTCCTTGGTTGTGATAAACTGCATCATGAGAAAGTAGGAAGAAAGGAATATAAACTTACTTAATTGTTGACCTACTAACAGTAAAATTGTCACATTATTTAAACGTGGATTAGTCATTTATAGGACCCGTTTAATCCACCTTGGATGCTATAAATTTTCGGCGACTTAGCATAGAAACTGGTACAATTTTCGCCACATATCTTTTAGTTTAACTGTAATTTGACCTTCTAGTTCCTCAAAATCCCGCAGTTTCGCATGCAAGTGTCATAAATCCACTAGAAAGTCAGACTTTATGCCCTAAATGTTGTAATAGGCTAACTAAAATAAATAAAATATATAGCCACATATACTTGTGTTTCTCAAAGGATGGTGTCATGAATAAAAGTGGATTAAATGTGTATATGAAGGTGCCGAAACAAACGAATGAGATAAGGGATGTTATCACTACTTCCAGGGTGTTTATCTCCCAAAGTCAGTGAAATGTTTTAAAGCAACAATCATCATAACTCGAGGCAATCGTGGTCTAAATTAAATGTATACCCCTTGAAATTATGTTCATTTATCAACTTCTGAGTGCTGAAAGAAACATAGATTAACGCTAGGGTATTCGTCTATAATAAATCAAATTGTAAATTCAATGAGTTTACTTCTAACTGACGAGAGTAAGAAATTTTCAGTCAAAAATTTCTAAATCATTTACTTTTTTATGGTTTACATCTAGATTGCCAAACCATCCTTGGCGAAAATCAGTCTAGTGGTTTCCATTAACTTTCATCTATAAGTATTTCTGTAGTCCACACTGAGTAAAGCCATCATCCTGAGATTGATTCAGGTCCAGTGGTGAACTTTGTGTAATGTAGAAACATTTCACTGCATATTATACTATGGAGTCAGTCTAATCACAGGAGATGAAAATGATGCCGATCAACAATCGTAAAGTGAGACCAGAACTTTCAGATGCAATGATTTCTCAGAGACATTAAATGACATGTCCTGAATAGTGTAATAACCTGGACAATATGGTGATATCAATATAGAAGTATTCGTTCATTAAATCATAGCACCAGGAATGCAAATGATAACCCTATATTGTTTCCTATACGCCTGTGAACATGGAAGTTCTTGTAGTATTTACCATGAATAAGGAAGAATTCAGTGAGATAAAGTCATGTGTGGGCCAGTATTCTATCTTCAAAAGCGTTCACCTATGCATTTCACACCCATTGACTTTGTGAAGACCTAGGGCGACATTAAGCGTGAAGTGTTTCGCCAGGTGCATTTTGAATGGAGAGGGAAGGGTTATAAAAATTTATAAATCGTAATCAGTAGCCACATGCTGATGATGCAAGTCACGTTGTCAATGACGGAGATCTCACATAAGCACCTGAACTCCACACTGGATTTAGACGAGGCTGGTTCCTATCCTCAGTTGTCTTCCTGAATGTCATAAGGACTACTGACAATCACCAGAGGGATGTATTTACTTACTTTCCTTGAAACCTGCAACACAGTGGAAATTTGACAATTTTTAACTGGTCAGTAGTGTTTTAAAGATGTATCTTTCAGTATGTGTAGTTAATCAACGATTTACTACAAACGTTTTGAAACAACTAGGAATAAGTTCTCTAGATTTATATACTTAATAAATCACCTGTCCTGGATTCTGTAATAACCTACCTGAAATTATGATAACTATATATATGCATATGTTTTGTAAAAACAAGCAGCATCATAAATGGAAATGTAAAGTCTCTATCTGTTTTCTAAGCAGTTAAACACAATGATCTGCTTGTCAGTCCTGATATAAACGTGTGTCAAACAGAAATATTTCAGTTGTCATCAAGATTTTCTCATTTTAACGGAGAAATATTTTAGATTAACTGTCTCCAATTACAGCCGCATTCAGTGTCCCACCCAAAATCTACACATTTTTGCAGAAATTTAACCTCTTTATCTGATTAGTGGTAGCGTACAGAATGAAATCATGTACAATTACCGGCCTAAAATTACACTTAAAATGGACATCTCTCATGTTTTATTATAGCTTAATTCTACACAGTATTTTTGGTACAAGTATGAAATTTTTAGCATGTGATATCGGTAGCCCGAATGTTGCAGGCCGACCATTGATATCAGGTGTGCGTTGGAAGGTGATCGAACCCTGGACTATTTGCATGGTCGGCGAGATTCCCTACCACTGTGCCACTGACACACATTTAAAAGATATTGTCCGATAACTTTATCAAAATGCATTTCTATATTTTGTATTGGGGTCCAGTCATGCATAGTACGACTTCAAGCAGTCATCAGCTTTTTACAAATTCTGCTTAACTCATGAAGTATTGTTTGTTTTAAGAAACTTTATAAGCTGAATAATTATATGAGCAATGTGCGCAGAGAATTTCTGCCCACAGGATAAAAGTAAGAACATTTGTTTGTTAAGAAGTAAGCAGGTATATGAGAAATGGAATAAACACTATTTCAGATTGTGACGTTACCAGCTGATAGCCAGAATATGGCAGTTCGCTCGGAATGTAGAATATTTTATCAAAAGTGCATAGACTCACATGCATGTAACTGCCTCACTTCTGTGTAAACATGTGAATCAGAACAGCGTTTTACACTCGGTTGCCTGAGTAATTTGGTTCATTCACTAAAGTTCCATTTTACATTTGTGATTAAGAAATACGAACATGTTTTCAATCGTTTTAAAAATATTTCTAATGACAAAGCATGCTGTCAACATGAGACTTACGAAAGGTTTTCATGTTATCTCAAACGGAAATGACTTCATTTCTACTTTGGATATATACAACCAAAAAAGGGATTTGTCAAGGAGCTGCCTGTGGTTCAACGTAGGAGGTTCTCAAGGATTTGCAAAGCTATTCTTCAGTGAACCAACAAGACAGTACAACTATGAATTTCCATGCATATTATTCTGGAATGCCAGTTTATCACATTCATATAGAACCTAGATATAATCACCTCTTCAGAATGACTTACTATTTAGAAATTGGGATTCCACTGAAAAGTATCCGTAAAGTAGAAAATGCTGGAATTGTAGCGTTTATGGTAGTCCTGGGGGTTTAATTATTACACAGTCAAAGCTTCATTAAATCTTTGAACTTAGAACAAGTGATAAAAGCATGTTATATTCACCTCTGTGACTGACGGGAACACTAATCGTCGAAATGTAGCATTCTCAAATATCACAACCAAGCCCTTCTGTCACAAATTGTGATGGCTGATCAATTTATGACAGTTCCAAACTACACAACATTCTGATCTCAGCTTCTCTAGCGCTGTTTTCAACGCTACTTGCTACACTGAATGTTTAGTAATAATTCTCTATCAAATTAAAATAGTTACATGAAAATACAATTAAAAATTTAAGTACTTACTGCTTCCTGTTTGACATTTTGTTCATTTTCTGTTAGTGGTCATCTACATTGATAAGACTAACAGTATTCACTTAGAAAATTTGCATTCTTGGATTCCTGAGAAACCCCTTATTCATTCCACACACTACGTCGTTACTGTTGCACTCAAAGTTATTATTCCTACTAATCAGCCATTTCGAACTAATTCACTTTGCCGAATACACACTTTCGACTTGTCTCTGCTTACTAAATGTATCCCATCTGAATTATTAAACATGTGTGGCAATGAAGGAACAGTGACTTCGCTTCTACTCAGTCCATTCACAGTTCGTCTTCAATCACTTCAGAGGAAGACTAGAGTGATTCATTTTCCACATCATATCTGTATGCTCGTTGATTTGGCTTGACCAACTAGTCTGAATCTTTTCCGTACTGTTTGCTTCACTGTAAATGAAAAGTAACCAGAACTGTAGTATATTTTGAGGAATATGTCGTAGTTTATCCGGACCATATTCACCGAAAACTGTTTGAATATATATTATTAACTTCAACAAGTGGATTTTTCTGCTAGTTGAATTACAAGATTATTTGTAAGGGTATTTGATGCACATAGAGAGTGTGATTTCAAACGATTTACTATAACCTACTGCATAAGCACTGACCGTTGACTGTTTTAGCACAAATTATTCTTCAGATATAATTTTAGTTAAGTTGTTCACACTGAGTGGCATGAATTTCCTATGATGCAGGCACAAGAAATCCTCGACCGAGTAGGTATAAAGACATGCTGGAAAACCACATGCATATAATAAATACAAATGATGGAATAGAGCGTTGTATAACGCAAACCTCAAGTAAAAACTATTATTATTATATATGTCCAAGCCAAGTTCACTTTTAACGGTTTGAAAAAATTTGGGCATTGGGTATATGATATTCATTGTAATAGAGGTTTTTTGTATTTCCCAATAAAAGAAAAACAAAACGATACGGTTTTTGTGTTTACTGACGTTTGGCTATTTAATGCTAATAGCTTTCTCAAAGTATTATTAAACGGGAATTCACAAAATCCACTCAGCATATCTATAACAAAGAGTTGGGGGTTGAGAAAAGGACATATTGAAAGTCAAAATAACAATGAAGATCGTTCAAACCAAATATCAAAGGTAATAGTATATCTGTTATTATATCAAAACAAAGTTTACTAACTTGATCATCGTTCGTTAGTATGGGGTCATTTTTGGTTGTCAGGTTTAAGAATTGGTAAAGATAACAAAACAAAGTGTAAATTGTGAAATACTTGATCATTATCTTTACCAACCCCATACTAACGAACGATGATCAAGTTAGTAAACTTTATGTTTGCATACAGATATACTATTACCTTTGATATTTGGTTTGAACGATCTTCATTGTTATTTTGACTTTCAATATGTCCTTTTAAGTTGAACTAAGTCTGTATTTTTTTCTCAACCCCCAACTCTTTGTTATAGATATGCTGAGTGGATTTTGTGAATTCCCGTTTAATAATACTTTGAGAAAGCTATTAGCATTAAATAGCCAAACGTCAGTAAACATAAAAACCGTATCGTTTTGTTTTTCCTTTATTGGGAAATACAAAAACCTTTATTATAATGAATATTATTAATTATGTGCAAATTTGAAAATGCAGTGTACCGATTCATCCTAATCGAATTTCACTAGTTGATGTTAACGGATGTATTCGAATATTACATCATGAATTATCACAAAACACTTCGGAAAAACAGCAAAAATATTTATGTAGACATTAGAGAGTATTCATTCAGCCGCTACAGCAGCTATTCATTCCATTTGAGGTAATAGTTTGTAAATAGGCAAGACTAAATGTGATACTCAAATTTCATCTGAGCTCAGTCGAAGATGTCTGGCATAACCAATATCTCTGTCACATATTTGTGGACAGCTAATTTGCTTCACTTCAAACATGATCTGAACTGGAAATAATTCAGTCTGGATGTGACCACAAAGAGTACAATGTGGAAAGTAACAAAAACGGTAGCAGTCATTGAAAAGCATTTTGAACTCACCACTTCCTGCAATGCGATATGTGCAAATGGTTCAAGAATATTACACAACTCACGCTGAATCTGATTGCGTTTACAAATATTTTGAATAGCCTACCTACAGGTGATGTACATTAATTCTACCAAATGTTCTTCAAAGGTACTCCTCAGTTTGTCCATTTCAGTCATAATTTAGTTGGACGTTATTCAAGCAACAAATGTAATAAAACAATTTAATCACTCGTTACATTACTATTATTATGCTTACCATAAACAAATTTACTAAGTATGAAGACGGAAAGAATAACAACTGCAAATTTCATTGAAAACATATTTTACTCACATAGATGGAAATGTTCAGTGTTGCTTTATATACATTTTAACCTCATGAAGAAGCCAATAAGACTTCATTACTTCTTTTGACAATAGACTCTGTCAAAACAAACCAGTCATGCATTAGATGCAAGAGACTTTGATCTCGAGCAGACTGTCTAATTCTTGTTTAATCATGTCATCTACTACATCTTTGATTTTTACTTTGACTTTGTTTTGACTTGCCCGCTTTAGAATCAGTCTAACAGCAATAGCTGTCACCGCTAAATGTAAGCAAAATTAATTTCAACATTAAATCAGTTAGTGGAAAAGATATGACGGTTATCAATTAAATTTCAAAAATAATAATAATACTTTATCTTGTTAGAGCAGAATATGTCTGTCATCTTCCGCAATATTTAACTGTAAAGGTGAGGTGATCGACGTTTTTGGAAATTTGAACATCAAAATATGATAGAATATGGATTAATTCATGCTGTAACTTGTGACATATATCAGGCACGAAGCGACGTCATGACGTAGTATACAACTAGTTGGTAACAAAAAATAATTATTATTCTCTACCTTATAAGTAAATCAAATGTTACGTATGTATACTGCGTTTGATGAATACTGATTATTTGCAGCCTACATTGATTTATATTTTTTATTCACCAGTCTGTAAAAATGCATCTCGTAAGTGATATGATTATGCCATGGCCATAATGTTACTTCTACACACTCTACTCACTTGGTAACCACTCGCAAACTGAAACAGACAAATTTCATGAGTAATTATTCAGCGAAAATGCATTTATGCTGGGAAAATTTCAATTTCGTTAGAACCATTTGACTCACAGCTTCGTTTACATGACAATGTGGTATTGATGTTTATCTGAAGAAATATATATTTGTAAATCGTAGTTTGCATACCCACGGAAGTACAGGCAGGATGTAAAAAGATTGTAGAATGGTATTACAGTGAAGAAGTATAGTTGTGACTTCACCTTGGACCAACTCAGGTTGCTTGAATCTTGAAGTGAGTGGTAAATATGATAAGGAAGATTTGAAACTCAGGTGGATGATTTTGATGTGGTTGTGTTCTCTGAGCTGGATAGTTGATTTGCGAAGCTTTCATCGCCCTACTAGTCAAGCGACATCTTCAGCGCATACTTCAATTTGTAGTGAGCTTTTAGATTTCTCCAGGAGTTTATTAATCATCCCTCCTGGTGACCTTGGACGTGATTAGTTGTTTTTGTGTGTTTTCGCATCTTTTAGGTTAATTGTATTGGAACTGATTGTTTAATTGACTTGAACTTTTACCCTTTTTGTGTGAGGTTCCTTTCCTTATCGGTTGATAAATTTTGTCTAACTTAATGTGTCTGTTGATTGCTGATTCACTGGAATGCGAAGCTTCTGAAAATTCTCTGGCAATCTTGTTGTTTCCTCTGTCTAATATTTGAACGCTGGTTGTCCCAGTCGAATTGATGTTCGTGTTAGTCTGTATGCAGTGATATGAGGGAGTGGATATCATGTCTTTTGACGTCTAACCTCTGTTGGTGGATACGAAGACGAAGGGGACGTCCACTTTGGCCGATGTAGTGTTTTTCGCAGTTGTTACAATTGATTTTGTAGATGATGTTGGTTTTATCTACTTCCGTTATTGAGTCTTTTGGTTGACATGGAACTGAGTGCAGCGACTTTGTTGGTTTGTGTACGACGTCAATTCCTAAAGGTTCGAACAGTCTTGTAGTGATTTCTGAGATATCCTTTATATATGGTAAGTCGATTTTCTTTGTGGCTTTTGCTTTGATAGGTTGGTTTTGGGGTATATATCTTTTGATGAAATTCCGTGGATATCCATTCTTTTGGAAGACGTCCATGAGATACTTTTCTTCTATTTTCCTTAAGTTGGGAGTGCCACAATGAGTCCTTGCTCTCTAGAATGGTGTTTTTATGCAATTTCTTTTGTGTGTTATTGGATTGTTGCTGTTGTAGTTCAGGATTTGGTCTGTGTGAGTTGATTTTCTGTAAACTTGAGCTTCTAACTCCCCTGTGGTTTTTCACTTGACTAAGACGTTCAGAAATGGAATTTTGTTCTCGGAATACTCTTATCTTGTGAATCTGATGTCGTTTAAGTCGTTGTTTATTAAGTTGTGAGTTTTATCTAACTTGTTTCCTTTGATCATTACAAATGTGTCGTCTACGTGACGTCTCCATATCTTGAGTTTGAATTTTGGTAGAATTATGTTTTCGAGCCTTTGCGTCACTGCTTCTGCAATAAAACCTGATATTGGTGATCCCATGGGTGTTCCTTGGACTTGTTCATATATTGGATGGTAAATGTTAGACATTTTTGAAAGATAATAAGATGCATTACTGAAGGTGTGAAGAGTGTCAACACCTACGTGAGTGTCTCATATCAAAAAACAATGACTTTACATATATTGATTCCCCGATTTGACTGGAGCAACGTTTATCCTTTCCTAAATAAGATAACATTTTCAGTATAAAACAGTACGCTTGAGAATTCACAAAACGTGTCGTAGCCACCTCAATAACAAAAAACACAGAAATCCTATATTGGTACAACAAAGGCACAAAGCAAGGGAAAAACTCATTGTAAGAGGCAGACACTTCCCCAAATACTTAGATTCCATCATGCTTACGTAGTTGCTTTATCTACTACATAATAGCTACACTCCACAGTGATGATACACATTGAGATGATTCTTTCTTGTTTTAGAAACCAACTTTCTTTTGACTCATTTGATGTTTACTGACAACTTTGACGTCACTTCATACTGTCAATCATGTTTCAGAAACTCAATAAAGTTGAAATGCGATCCTTCTGTTGTTTTGTAGTTATGCATTTGTGCAGATGTAGGCATCAAATAAGTGGTGTGCCTATTATGAAATAGCGAAAAATTGTGCGCATTTAAAACATTTGCATGTTTGATAGGCTTACTCTAAATGTTACGTGGTACAACATCAGTACATAAATGAAATGATGCAATAGAATCTGTTTGTGAAGTAATTCTGAAAACAAACAAAAACAAAATGGGTGTGTCGACAAATCTTGATGGATTTCAGAAATTTTACAACTTGAAATGATGTGAAAACATATAAGTAGGCATTAAATCTTGATCTGTCATTTACGGATTATCTTCACCGTGATTTAATGACTGTCTCCGTTGGATGACAGTAAATGTGGAGACAACGTGCTCCGTTTGGTGGCAAAACCAACACATATCCGGTACAATAAGCGAGTAACAGCTGTTAGATTTCGTCGTGCGAACTGGTAAGTTTTGCATTGATTTGAGTTTTAGTGTTGTTGAATATTTTTTCAAGTATGGAAGTCATTAAGGACATTCATAAGTAGATTCTTTTCGATAATTTCTCCTCTCCAAGTTCTTACAATTATAAAAGGACAATGTTTGTCGTCGTTACAATAATGATAGCCAGTTATTCGACGAATACATTTCTAACGTGGAATAACAGATTACTAGTTATGGGATGTCAAAATAAATAGTCGTATTTGTGTGACAAACGTGCTTTGGGCTGAAATCGATTGGAAAATATTGTAAAACGGGAGATAATAGTGGTAATTAGTCATAATAAATTTGTGGAATGTACTGGGGTATGAAAATTAGGAAGTCAGTTCAAGGTCATAAAAGGTGTCAGGTGAGTGTGTGGCTAGTAGAAAGTGGTCTGTATTAAACATGAGATAGTGAGACTGCAATGAGACGTTCATAATGAAATAACGAATGTGTGAAATAAAGAAACAGGTGGAGGCATATTTTGAGAAAAGAGACAATATCACTCATAATAAGTTTGGATAGTGTTGAGAGAATGTTTGCATGAAGGGCATAAATCATAACGAATAATAATAATTGTAATAGTAAGCGAAGAAATAAAATTAACTTAGAGGGTTAAGGGAAGAAGTACTCTTCCTGAGAGGAAGAATCAACCATCCAAGTTTGGCCATGGTAGGAACAGCGTCTCGGCGTTTTCTTATACTGATACAAAGTTCTGGTTCTTGTCGATCTCATTGCAACAGCTTCAGTTATGTGTAGGAGATGTAAGCTAACTTCGCAATTACGCATATAACCCTAAAAGCTGTGTTGACATCGATGCGTTGTCCAGTATCCACCAAGTGTGACAGGATCGAGCGTTTTATGCACTTAACTTACCCGCCTAGTGAGCCTAATTGGTAAGTGTTCTGGAATCCATAGACGAACCTACCTTTACGTGCGCCCTGCATAACCTGAACCACAGGAATAGTTGAAATGGTATATGCATGAAGAAGAGCTAAGGTTAGGTAAGACACCTTTGAGTTGCTGGGTGAACATTGGACGGCTACTGAAGAATAGACACAGATGTGCAGAGTAGAAAGCTTTCTTGATCGCCCTGATTAAACGTTGCGACAAAATCTCCGCAGGAGTATCTCCCTTGAACTAAAGACGTAAAAACAGAGGCTTTTTCTCCACTGTTGCCAGTTCACCTTCACGTCTTCACACTCTACAAATCTATTATGTCTAATCACCATCACTGTCTCCCATCTTACAAAATTTTGTAATCGATTTCAGCCTAGCGCGTTTGTCACACAAATATGACTATTTATTTTTGACACCCCATAACTAATCTGTTAATCTACGTTAAAAATGTATCCGCCGAATAACTGGCTGTCATTATTGTAACGACAACAACTATTATATTGTATAATTGTAGAAACCTGAAGACGAGAAATTATTGAAAAAATATTCTTCGTTCAGATAAATTTTTAATTCATGGTATATGGGAATATTTCACACTTCTACATCTTATAACATTCATAAGAATTCATTCCGAATAACGTTCCGTGTTGAAAAGTCCGAATAATCTTGGTTTGGTGCTAAAGCGTTGAGAAAGCAATGTTTTTGTTAGATTCAGTATGAGTGATGTATGCAGATTTTTCTGTGATTTCGCATCCTGAAAGATATATCATTCAACATTATTTCGCATTCTAATCTGGATACAT